GTTTAAGTATATGTATAGCCTATTCATCCTTAAGTACGATATAGCGTTGACGTATTTCTATCGATTGCTAACAATTGTATGAAGTAATTATTTTCTAAAGCAAAGAAATCGTTTATTTTATAGGTCGCGCGCGCCGAGCAAGGCGATGGAACGATACGAACGACTGACGCGTCTTGGGGAGGGTAGTTATGGCGTGGTCTTCCAGTGTAGAGATCGGCAAACTGGAAAATTGGTAGCTGTAAAAAAATTCCAGCAGACCGAAGACGATCCTCTCATACGCAAAATAGCCTTGCGTGAAATACGTCTCCTTAAGGTCAGTACCGACGCCCAAAAATATCAATGTAGATAAAAAACTAGCTACATGTACATTTCACATTTCACACAAGTAAAATTGTACATATACTGAGTACCGAAAATAAATATTTTCTTTCTTTTATGTAAAATTTTATGCATATTTAATTTTATGCATTTTTATATAAAAATTTGCACTGTTATTATCAATTATTATTTGTCATCGTGTACGTTGTGTAAAGTAATGAAATAGCTTCGTTACAGATTAAAAAAAGTACTTTTTTCTCTTGTATATGTACGAAATAAAACCCGTGATCGAGTATCGTAGAATGCTTATCATATTATCTAGAAAGCAAGCTTCGTGTCTCTAGTACCTTCTCCCTCTTCCGTATATACTTCCAGGTGAACGACCTTTATACTCAGAAACTGCTAAGGCTCGTGCTGGTCACCGCCGAATTAAGAAAACTTTGCTTAACAAAATTTCGAGTGTCTGTCACGACATTAATAATGAAAATACGCAATTAATGTCAATCTATCTGTTATTCTTTTGCAAAAATCGATTGATGCAGAAAAGAAATGTTCATATTTTTATACGACGTAACAGCATAAATTCACCGTTGACTACAAGAAGTGGCCAACGGTCAATACCGCGGCGGTCAATATCTTAGCGTGTTCTCCTCTCCGCGACCTAGCCTTATCGAAATAATCGGAAGGTTCTCTCCCAAACATATGCGCATTCAAACGAGCCTCCACTCTGCACTGACATTTCGCTTCAAGGATATTTTCCTTCGTGTACACAATAAATCCGGGCCGCGATGTTAATGATTTCCCTTCGCGGTAGCTTGGCGATCGCGAAACTTGACCGCGATAACGAACAAAAGAAAAAGATTTCAAGCGTTTCACGTGCACTCGAGTTATTTTTTTTAGTTTATTTAATAGATCATCTGATGAGATTTATGAGAAGAAAAATGCACTTATTCGCTTCTTAAATAAATGCTATGTTTGAAGGATTTAATTAAGTTCAATTGAAAGCAGAATCTTAAACATCCAAACCTGGTCAACCTTCTGGAGGTCTTCAGGCGGAAACGGAAATTACATCTAGTTTTCGAATACTGCGAGTACACGCTATTGAACGAGATGGAGAGATATCCGAGCGGCTGTCCGGAAATCACCACCAAGCAGCTCACGTGGCAGATTCTACAGGGCATCGCATACTGCCATCGATTCGGTTGCGTTCACAGGGACGTCAAACCGGAAAACATTTTAATCACGGGCGACGGCGTAGTGAAATTATGCGACTTTGGTTTCGCGCGTATGCTCAGCCCCGGTGAGAATTACACGGAGTACGTCGCAACCAGATGGTATAGGGCACCTGAACTATTGGTAATTTTCTCATATATTTTTATTGCTATCACCGAAGAGATATTATTAAGAAGTGAGAGTGCTCTGGAAAAAAAGTTTTTGCAATAAACAATTTTATTCATTAATTAATGACGCCCCTTTGACGAAACCTCGGAAAAATAAAAATTTCTTTTTCTTCAAAATTTAAAAAATGCTGTAAATAAATGTTGGAGGTACTGCTATTACCTGCAAGAAATGTATACAATTTTCTTCTATCTCGAATACTTCAGAACTAATCGATTAATTAGTTCTTTATCGCTAATCATTCCTTTTGTTTTGTACATTTTTTAATACATAGGTCGGAGACACTCAGTACGGAACAGCAGTTGATGTATGGGCAATCGGTTGCGTTTTCGCAGAATTAATACGTGGAGAAGCGCTTTGGCCAGGAAAATCGGACGTGGATCAATTATATTTAATTCGGAGAACAATCGGCGATTTATTACCGAGGCATATAGCTATTTTTCAACAAAACGAATTTTTCGCTGGTATCACGTTACCAACCCCTCAAAGTCTCACCCCTCTTGAAACTGCTCTACCTAATAGAGGCAATACTGCACTACAAGTAAGAACGTAAACCTTTTATTTACTTTGAGACAAGAACAATTGGAATTGAATAACAAGTGAAGAGAAAATTATTAACTGAATATCGTTCGATTTTACAGCTTGACTTTCTCAAGAAATGTTTAGACAAAGACCCCGACGAAAGATGGTCGTGCGAACAACTTTTACAGCACTCCTATTTTGAAAACTTTCATTTCAAAATGCCCGAAGCCGAAATGGAAGAATTCGAGAAGCTTAAGAAATACCGAGACCGATCACGAGTACGTAGTCGTATAGTTAGAAGAGATATAGATAATGGAAGAGATAAGAAATGAGCATAAAGTATTTATTGACCATCATGCTGATTCTACTCACGGCACTACAGAATCGTAATGTGCCCGTTGTATTTTAGAACACTAACTACAGTCAAATGGTGTTACCGCAACTTCCTAAAGCTGGTGCTTCAGTACATAGTCAAAACGAAAATCGGCCGAAAAGCTCCTCCATGCATCAGCAGGATTTTGATCACCTGCCTACTATCAAAGGTTGTAATTAAACCCCTCTGTGATTGTAATATACTTATACATATATACATATACATTTATTTATCAATTTATTTAAACTTTATAGATTTGTCATTATAAATTAGTAATTGTTAATACATTTTATTTTTACTTTGCACTGTTTGCCTTTGTAATTCTGAAGGAAGTTTTGTTTAAGTAGCATGACTTCCATGTCATGTATACATATTTCTTGTATATTACATGTACATCTTAAAATAAACTTTTCTACAAAACTACCAATTTTTAATTACTCTTACCATTTAAGAAGCAGGAACCCTGATCAATTGTATAAATATTTCTCTGTCAATATAACAAATTGACAGATTACGTTGTATCAATATGTATTATTTAAAATCACATATATTATAAATAAATTAATCTCACCATTTTATTTGTTACCTTAAGCCATAAGTGACTAGTCTAAATGTATGCATGTAACAAATGTAATTATACTTATTACTACCAAATAAATATACTTTCCTTTAAATACACATCGTATGCATATAGTATTTATTGCACACTACATGTCATTCACGCATTTGAAGAAAGTAATATAGAAATCAGGTTTACAGTTGTACAAATTTCAGTCACCTTTTATTTTAGGTTTTATATGTGATAAATAATATCGTACGATAGGATGATTGTGTCGTTGTTCTGGTGGTACATAGTTCTGTTGTAACCAATACCACCCGACATGAGCACCCAGAAACCCAGTCATGAATATCCACATAAAAGCACTCATTTCGTATTAAACTTTACTTGGTGTTCACTTAAAAGAAATTAAACTATTCTTTAGTTCTCTCTCCTTTTACACGTTAAATATGGTTTAGGTTAAGGGTACCACGACTATTGCCTGTTGACGAAATAGTACGGAAATAACATACATAAATGCGTAATCTATTTGATAGCTAATTATTTTACGATTTACATATACTTGAAATTCACTTACAAAATTCGCTACCAGTCTGTAAATATCTAAGCAGTTTGATCGTTTCAGGTTATGCAGCTTCTCGATTTTAAACTTCAAACTTTTATACGTATGCGTACGTACACGCATGACACGCATGTATGTATATAATCACAGACAAACGTCACGGCTGTATGTATCTGTCAGTAGGCATAACAAAAAGGCGGGAGATCTCGCACGAAACTGTGTAAAAGAATTATTATAATAATTTATTAAAGTATATTTTATTGCCTTCATGATATAAACAACTGTTGAATTCGTGTAATTAATCATGGTTGAAGAAAAATTAATAAAATTGGTCCAAAGCACCTTCTCTTTGTTTGGACTCGTGCTCTCGAGGTAAACGAATTATTTACATATGATGTAATGAGATCTTTTATGTTAATTTTATTATTTGATTCTTTTTAGGAAACTCAGTATTTCACTTGCTAAGGAACTCTTAAACGTGGGCGAAGATGAACGTGAGACTTGGCTCTCAAGGATTGTTGAAAAAGTGTTTGCACAGAATTTAAGCGATCCACATGTAACTCTCGAAACATTGAAAATTGCTATTGAAGAATGTATAAGGCCAAACGCTTTGAAAGACGATGAAACGTTGTTAAATGTTATTGATGTCTTTCATGTACCGAAAATTCACTATAGCTTGTCTAAGAACAAGTTTATTTTGGAAAATGTCGAACCAGAATTGTATGCCGAGGCACGATATAAAACTGTACTGTTTAAAGATAGATTCGAATTGCTTTGGTACAGAACATTGAGACATGAGTTATTTACACCTCCAAAGCTTGGTGAAAGAAAACAAGATTGGATTGAATTAGTGCCCATTGAACACTTACTAAGTGAAAGTAGAACAGGAAATGTCTACGTCATGGGTCTTTTAACTCAGTTAGTAGAAGATCAATTTTACTTAGAAGACACAGGAGGTTCAATAAAAGTCGATCTACGAGAAGCAATATCCTTTTAGAACTCTCTAGATAATACTAACAATTTCTGCATGTTATAAGAAATATTACTTTCCTTAATCTTTGTATACAATTTCCAAGATGGTTTGATCATGGAGGGTTCTATAGTAATAGCTAATGGAAATTTCGAGGATGGTGTTTTACGCGTGGAGAAGCTGGGTTTCCCGCCGCCGGAATCGTCTAATAATGCGCGTGTAGATTTTGGCGATGCTAATACATTCGGCGGTTCGCACCATATTTCTTTAAAACTATCCGAAAAATTGAAGAGCCACGAAGAAAGTAATAAAGACGGAATGATCGTATTTGTATCAGAAATGTGGCTGGACGATGAAATTGCTTTGCGGAAATTTAAAATTATGTTAGAGGGGTATTCTCAATATCCACCTATAGCTTTTGTATTATGCGGACATTTTTTAAGTTCTTCGACGAACATGTCGAGCCCGCAGAAGTTAAAAGATGGACTTAAAGAACTTGCTGATATAATAATACAGTACCCGGAGATACATCAAACTTCGAAATTTATTTTTATACCTGCATCGGACGATGTTGGATCGCCGAAAATTTTACCAAGATTGTCGCTGCCAAAGAATCTTACAAGAGATTTTACGAAGAATATACCTGGTGCAATATTCGCTACTAATCCGTGCAGAATTCAGTACTGTACGAAAGAGATAGTGATATTAAGGGAAGATATTTTAACGAAAATGTGCAGAAACACACTTCATTTTCCAGACCAAGGCAACATCTACGATCATGTAAGTTTCGGCACTTACGCGAGCCTCTCGAGTTATTTCATTTTTGTTACGCTTTACAGTATGCTAAATCGATTGTCTGCCAATCTCATTTAACCCCGATGGATCTATCACTTGTGCCGATCTACTGGAAATACAATCACGCCTTACAAATATATCCTACCCCAGATCTCATCGTAGCTGCGGACAAATATGTAGCATACGAAACCACGTATTCTGATTGTCACATAATCAACCCCGGATTTTTCCCAAGGAACGATCATTCGTTTAAAGTGTATGTGCCGGCATTAAATTTGGTTGAACATTGCGCAATTCCGAAAGATGTGGATAACATTTGATTGTATTTGAAATAAAAAATAAATAGAAATTCAAAAATATTGTCAGTATTTTGTTTATAAGGGATGTCGATACCTTTGTACAATCCTATGCCAATTTTATACATTTATTTTCATATCAAATTTTCATTGATTTTACAATACTTTAAGAAACGCGCCTTCAATTCATAAATTAATCTGCGTATTTTTCGATACTAAAATAAATACTTTAAATTAAACTCAAGCACCGAATATAATTTAATCACTCGTTACTGATACTGAGTAATTCCTTGAGTCTCTGTGTCCAATAGCTCAGTGGAAAACAATTGACTAACAGTCACAGTACTCGTACGATCATCGCCGAGTTGCACATTATACTTTCTATGTAGGACACAGGAAGTACGTATTTATTCGTTTTCGTGTTCTTTTTTTCACCGATTTATATAAATAGATACATACAATATTAAACACATGTGTTTCTACCTCTTCACAATGTACATAACAATATTACAGGTACAGACTGGGCCTCGGTATCAATTCGCTGCACTGGAAGCATAAGTTAATTACTGGCCGTTTAATCAAACATCAGTAGAAGGATTGTACATAATAATTCTGTAGAACAATCCTTAACATATAAGATGCAATAATAAAACACGATATATGCAATACGATCCGCGAATATGTATTACAGTTTCGTATTAATAGCAATTATTACAGTTTAATCATATGAATACCAACTATACAGAAGTTAAGGGGAACAAATATATTTATGTAAATATAATAATTAACACACAATTTTTTTGTTTTCAGTAAATTTTATAGTGGAAACATTATTTCTCACTGTTTAAATCTCATTTTTCCCGTGCTACATTTACACTCGTTTTACACGCACGCATAGACGCATTCTCGTCCTCTTTGTACACTATGCAATTTCAGTAGTCAAATACGAACTATGAACGCCACCAGATTTTGTCGATGCTTCTAATATTGGAAGCTAAATATCATATCACGTACAACGAACAAACTTTCAGTCGTGGCAAGCGAATGCTAAACTTTTATTTTTCAAACGTTCAATTAGGGTAATGAGCGTTAGAGTGTTAGAAAAACGGAGATTAATAATTCATATACATATATATGGATGTATGTATGTATATAACTGTGAACCATAAGGACTACGCGTACTTATTCGTTCAAATATATTACAGCGTATTACACCATATAAAAAAAGAAAAGAACGCGCTTATATCTATTGCACATCCTTAAATCTTCATATACATATATATTTACTCCGATGTCCGTACCTCCTCCTGCAATCTCAACTATATCATAATACAGAATAATACATAGTAGTTTATGTACTAGTGCTTCGTTCATGTGACTATGTACAAATGTGTAAGTTTATTTAATAGAATTACAATTTCAGTCGACGGACGGTATAACGGTCCTTCAGACTCCGTATCTCACGAACTCTCCTTCTTCGCGTGCAACTCTCCTGAGAACAAAATTGTTCGTAAATTTCATAAAAAATGCAGAGATCTACGAAAGTGAATTACGTACGACGTAGAAACAGAAATTGATCAAAGCTGCTTACGACTGTGCTTACTTTCTCTTTGATATCTTCGGCAAGCCTGATTCCTTTCTTCCGCATCGAAGTACCACAGAGTGATCGCGTATCTCGTTTTATATGCCGGCTGGACTTCGTGTGGATTTCTCCTATCGGACCAGAAGAACAATATTCTATCGAAGAGCGGCTCGATATCCGCGACTTGATCACGCCAGCCTTCTGGGAATATCCTCAAGAGGCCACCATTCTTCTATAATAGAAAACCAAACATAAATTACATAAGCAAGAAGTTCATCATTCCGTTTTATGGATTTAGCTGCTGCGTCATTGACGAACAATTTTTCATTAAAAATTTGTGTGTCAACGTGTAATACAATTTATTTATCTTCTTATCTCACAAAAGGAAGAACAACACCTGGAAGGAATTTATTACATCCGGTGCTTTCATATTTCCCAACGTGACACGTGTTTAAACGATCCCTATTTTCCGTGTAGGTCAACGCAAACATTGCTCAATGTGAGGTTCTCGTACATACGCTAAATGGAAGTGTTACATGGAGTAGCTCACGTAGGCCCTAGAGGCTCTAGACGCCCTTCGTGCTCTGCTGCATGTTCTTACTCGGACTCGGAATGCCCTTAGTTTTAAAATTCAAACATTCACGGCCACGCGCGTGGGGTGAACGAGACGTGATAAAACGGCCATGGGAACAAGAACCAGTCTGGCTGGCTGTTACTTTATCGTATTGTCTTATAATATGAATGTAATTAACGTCGGAATTTACATAAATCAGAGATCATTTCTATTCGCTGATAGTGACTAAATGAAAGTAGAAATTTCATGAGAATTACGTAAAGACTATGCTTAAAATTGAAATGAAGGGAAATCTCTGACGACATAGAAGAAGCGATTTATTATTTATTAGATATTCGAAGAGAATTAGTTTTGAAGACTTTCCAGACATTTTCGCTTCGATCAGTATGCGAAAACAATACAAGTGAGAAATAAAAGAGTAAAACATCGTGACGAGGTGATTAATCTCGATTTTGTACCTTAATATCCCAATCTCGGTTGAGATAGTATATGGCTGTGATGCATCGTCCATCTCGATTAGGATTATCCACGTGTTTCACGTAATGCGAACCGTGACCAGGATAACAAGCCACCATTGCCTGGAAGGTAATGCACCGTGTTAGTTTAATCGAGAAAACGAGAGTGTCCTTGCAACTGCTGACTGCTATACTGGTCTCTGATCTGAGTAATCACTCAGAATATTGACCTGACGCGTGCATGTACTCTGAATCATATTTCACGAGAAATCGATTGCATAGCGCGCTACTTCGGTGTTTATATGTCGTTGAATTTTAGATGCAAATCGTTTCAATAAATATACTTTTTTAATTTATAAGCGATATTATTAAAAAAATCTGTCTTTACTTCCGAAAAATAATGTTAAAAGTAATTACAATCAACATGTGAGACTTCACCTTTTAGGAATG